CTTTGTTTCAGGCCCAAAGCAAATTATCCAAATGATTAGTGGCCAACAAACACATCACTCAGACCCAGTCACAGATGATCCTGGGGCAAGATCTTCCATTGCTGACCTGCTGCACTCTCTCTCTCTCTCTCTCTCTCTCTCTCTCCCTCCCTCCCTCCCTCCCTCTCTCTCTCTCTGTGCGTATGTGTCTGTGCATGTTTCATTTTGCTTAATTTTAGTGCAGTGCCGCCTTCCTCAGAAATGTTGTGACCCCAAGAAATCCTGGCTCATTCTTTCATCTAAATCTAGGGAATACTTTCCTGCCTGTTCCCACATCATACTATGCAAGCACAAGCTAGTACACGTTGGCAATGTCCTTTCATCCTGAGAAGTGCAATTCATGTTGGGGCGCCTCTTCCTCAAAATAGTGGTTTATCCTCTCTGCTACTTCGGTTCCTGGGGAGCATCACATAAGACCCACTTGGTGTCTCATAGTTTTTGAGAGACTGCAGTGAGTGGATTTGGCCGCATCCTGCAGGGCCTGACTCATTTGGCATCAGGCTACCTTATTCCTGGGTCACTGGTCCGACTTTCCAATAACTGTCTCATTTCTTGACTGGTAGAAGGAAGATTTCCCTCGAACTTCAGGTATGATACGAATCTTTCACACATGCCTCTCTGGCATGTTTAGCATCACATGGGAAAGCAGAAACAGCTGGGCTCAGGTCTCAACTTTCAGACAGCAAAACGAGGGCTGAGATAATCAAGAGGGAAATGGATTGGTCTCTTGGGAGAGCTAGTTTGTGCCTTCATCCTGGAAAGGAATCTTCCTTGCTTTCTAGTTCAGCAACTCAGTTATACAACTCAGTCCTACTGCGCGCGCGCGCGCGCGCTCTCTCTCTCTCTCTCTCTCTCTCTCTCTCTCTCTCTCTCTCTCTCTCTCTCTCACACACACACACACACACACACACACACACACTGACCTCTGCCTCCCTCTCTGTCCATCTGTCTATCCCTGCATCCTCCATCCATCCATCATCTCTTTTTCCCCTTTTTATTCTTTATTTTAATTTCTGGCCACCAAGCCAAGCTACAGGAGAAGTAAAGGCCTACTCTGCAAAGAAGAAAAATGGCCTGAGTGGGCAGGAGGCCCAGATCCAGTGAGAGACTGACAAGGCGAAACAAGTGGAACGCAGTGATGAGTGAAGTCTCCATGGCTTGCTTAGCAAGCTGAGCTCTGCAGTGTTAAGCTGCCCATCTTCACAACCCATCAATCAACATATCCAGGTGTATTGCTTCATTTTATTGAAAAAAACACACAACAACTTTTAACCCCTTTCCCCCATCGTAAATAGCACCACATTTGCAAGTTTTGTAAAGCTGATTTTCATTTTGGAGTTTGAAAGAAGCCCTTAGACAAGATAAGAAATGAGAGCATGATTGTTTGGAACAAAATAAAGGGGGAAAATATAGAATGATGTGCTTACTTTAGTAGCATGTAAGAGGGCATCTCTTGTCCCTGTGGTAGAAGGTATGTTTGCGTCCCTTAACCATTCCAAAAACAAGCCGAGACGAGGCGAGACGTAATGAGGTGAGACGAAACAAAACATGCTGGTGGTTGCAATGTATCTTTGATTGCATGAAGGAGGGCATATTTTTTTCCTGGTGCAGAAACATTTATTATTTATTTATTTATTTATTTATTTATTTATTTATTTAAGTTGCATGCCATACATTTACTTGCATCTCTGGATGGCTTACAACATAAGCAAATTGACCCACTCTGGCTCCAAGATAATAAAATGCAACATACAATATAAAAACAAAATTAAAACACTTTAAAATATTGGTTCAATAGAAAGGTCTTAACCTGGTGCTGAAAAACATATCATCACAATGCCAGATGGACCTCTCTGGGAAGCACATTCCACACTTGGGGTGCCCTCGCAGAGAAGGCCCTCCGCCAGGTACTCTGTGTCCTAACGTCTTTCAAAGAGGGTTCCCAGAGGAGGGCTTCTGTTGCCGACCTCAGCAGGTGGGAGGGCAAATTGGGAAAAAGGCATTCCTTTAGGTATCCCTGTCCCAGGCCATTTAGGCAAAAAAATATGTTTGCCTCCCTTCAATATTAGCAGAAAAGCATGACGGTGCTTGCAGTGCACGTTCTGTGAAGACAGAGAGAGATGGAAGGGGACAACCTATCCTCTCACAGCTTCCTTGTTCCAGACCTTCGTCTATGAAATGGGTGCAGTATAAGTCCTGGGGAGCTGATCTTGCAGAGTTCTTATACTCTCAAGCCCATGCAAATGAGCGCTACCCCTTCATCTTAAAGGAGGCTTTGGCCGACCCATCAAGACGTTGCCAAGGAACCTCCGAGAAACTTCCTCACATTGCAGCAGGCAAGACAACACTCCCAGCAGTGTCCGGAAACATGCTTCTCTGCTTGAGCAGCCTCCTCATATCCCTTTCGGCACTCCCAGGTCACCATTTCCTCATGTCAACAGCGAGGCCTTATGCATATTTCTGCTTATTTGTCCACAACTCTCAATTGCTCTTTGTTTTTTGTCAGGTTGTCTCTCAGAGGTTCGGCTGGTGGAGGCAGGTGGAGGTGTTGTGGCACCTGGAGGCTCCCTCCGCCTCACCTGCAAGGCTTCTGGNAAGCAAATTATCCAAATGATTAGTGGCCAACTAACACATCACTCAGACCCAGTGACAGATGATCCTGGGGCAAGATCTTCCATTGCTGACCTACTTCTCCCTCTCTCTCCCTCCCTCCCTCCCTCTCTCTCTCTCTCTCTGTGCGTATGTGTCTGTGCATGTTTCATTTTGCTTAATTTTAATGCAGTGCCGCCTTCCTCAGAAATGTTGTGACCCCAAGAAATCCTGGCTCATTCTTTCATCTAAATCTAGGGAATACTTTCCTGCCTGTTCCCACATCATACTATGCAAGCACAAGCTAGTACATGTTGCCAATGTCCTTTCATCCTGAGAATTGCAATTCATGTTGAGGCACCTATTCCTCAAAACACTTGTTTATCCTCTCTGCTGCTTCTGATCCTGCTTGGATTCTCAACTGCAGCAAGAAGGACACGACTGAGATCTTCCGCAAATGCCAGGCAGGGAGTCAGAGTCCTCCATGGCACCATCCTTTCCCAAGATGATGTGTAGCTGTGCTAACACAACCGTGCTGGCCTCCAACCATAGACTTCCAGGCAGCCATGCTGGTGTTTTTATCCAGTTACACATGCAAATTCCCTGAGGCTGCTTCCTTTTCAAATCTGCGATGCACGTCCTCCGCCCGGCTACTCCACTCTGCGCACTTGGGACCACTTCTCTGTGCGCCCTGACCTTGCATTACAAGGGAAAATGATGCTTCTACTTCTTGGAGGTAAAGTTCTCTTTCCTTCCAATGACATTTGCTGTGTGCTAGATTTTCAGATGCACATCAAGGCTTACTGAAAATCCTTTCCTTCTAGGAGTCCAATCAGAAGTCCAGCTGGTTGAGTCTGGAGGGGATGTCAAAAACCCGGAGAGTCACTCCGCCTCTGGCTTTACCATCAATGACTACTGGATACAATGAGTGTCTCAGGCTCCAGGGAAGGGCCTGGAGTGGGCTGCAACGATTAGCAGTGGCAGTGGATCAACTCAAAACTATGCAGACAAGGTGAAGGGGCGCTTCACCATCTCCAGAAACAATCCCACCAGCATGCTGCATCTGCAAATGAACAGCCTGGAGGGCAAGGGCACAGAGATATAGTACTGTGCATGAGGCACAGAGGGAGGAAGCAAACATGCAGCCAGACAAAAACCCTCCTCTGGACTGACTAGCAGATTCAGAGCAGCGTCCCAGCTTAGAACATGAAGGAGTAGCTTCTGAAGTCGAAGAGAGCTCCATTCACCCAGCTGAACATTGTGTGTACTAGTTCTCCCCATATTCCTCGCATCCATTTAATGGCCTCCAACTCCTTTCTGCAGATCAACCTATAAGGGGATGAATGCAGGTGATACAGTCCGTATGAGATCAAGCCCCATGTGCTCCCCACTTCTTTTCTCAAAGATCACCTTTCTCGCAAAACTGTCAAGGCAGCATGTTATGTGGCAGAATATACCTAGGAAATTGAAAGTGTAGTTGAACATGAGTGAGTGGAAAGGAGCAGCCACTTCTGCTGGATGAGTGGATTTCCCTGCCAGTCTCTCACTCCATGACTGGAGTCCATGCTGGCTCTCCTCCATCAGCCCAAAGGGGGCAGCAAGCACACACTCCTGATGAATGTCAAATGCCTTCATCCATGCACGATGGGATATAAATGCATGATTCAAAGTGTCATCCATGAGTGACCTTCTGGGACTTCAGCTGCCTCCATGAACATTCCTTTTGCTTGTTTGCTTGCCAACTGACCCTGCCCCCTGTTCTGTTGGTCCCCTGAAACGACTGCCATGATGCATTGTGGCCGGTCAAGGGCAGAGTGAAAGCGAGCGAGCAAGCAAATACTTCCAAGTGATGCAAGCAAACGATCAGAAGTACAGTGAGCAGGAGGCGGCCAGAAGGGCATCTGCTCCAACACTCCACTCAGTGCAGGACACCAAGTTCAACCTTCCCTGTGGACAACCATCCTGTTGTGAAGCAAGGAAAGCTGAGAGCAAGACAAAGGACTGTCAGCAAGGCCTTTCCCTAGTGAGACAGACGCTATTAGAGCCAAGAGGCTTGGGTCGAAATGGGGGTGTCCAGGGGGTGTCCGAACAGGAGCTCAGAGGAACGAACGAGATTATGTGCAGTAGATTCCTAGTCGTGATGAAGAGCATGGGAGGGAAGGCCCGTGGCTAGGGCAAGGGGGCTGGAGGAAGCAAGAGAGTTGCGCAGACAAAGCCCATCAAGAACAAAGCTGAGGGTTTCCATTTGTGTGGGGCAGAAAGAAGCAGCCACGGGGGCATTTGGCAATGGAGTTGCATTGCCAAGACCATGGTCGTGTCTGGCCATAGATATTGGAGGGCCAACCCCTGAGCTTTTATCCTGACGCATATGCAAATCTCCTGGGCTGCTCCCTCTTTAAATCCTCCAGCCACACTCTCTGCCCACTGTGTACCTCCACGCACTTTGCCATCAGTTCTTTCAAAATAGTATAAGGGAAAATGATAATTTTGCTTCAGCTGGCTTTCCTTACTGCAGGCCTTGGAGGTAATATTTATTCCAAAAAAGCATTTTCTGAAGGAAAGGTTTTTATGTACCCTCCATATCACTGTCATATTTGTTTTCTTCCAGGTGTGCAGTCAGAGGTGCAACTGGTCGAGTCTGGAGGTGACGTGAAAAGGCCCGGAGAGTCCCTGCGCCTCTCCTGCCGAGCCTCCGGCTTCACCTTCAGCAACTCTGGCATGAGCTGGGTGCGCCAGGCTCCAGGGAAGGGCCTGGAATGGGTCTCAGCAATAAATACTGATGGATCCAGCACATACTATGCAGACAAGGTGAAGGGGCGCTTCACCATCTCCAGAAACAACCCCTCCAACATGCTCTACTTGCAAATGAACAGCCTGAAGGCCGAGGGCACAGGGACATATTTCTGTGCGAGTGGCACAGTGAGAGGAAGTGAATGTGCAGCCAGGCAAAAACCCTGCAGTCGAGTGAAGAGTAAAATTGGTGCTATTTTGTTTGCCTGTAGATTAATAAAGCATTACTTTTCCTTCACCTACTGGTGTGCTCATTGCCTCCAAGTCCCAAAAGAACCCCTGCCTCCTGGCAGAACGTTCAAAGGAATTGGAGGTGAGTTTGCCACTGCTGGATGAGTGGACTCCCCTGTCCGTTTCTCAACCCTCCATCAGCCCAAAGGGGGCAGTACGTGCTCACCAA